AAGTCTTCACGCGTGCTCTGCGGCACAGACAGCGGTAACCTGAGTTCCGAGGACTCGCTAACGGAAACGGTGGTTCGCTTAGGAACTATCAACCAAATTTGCAGTCCTTCGTAAACGAGTACAAAAAAAATTAAAAAAAACTTCCAGAATAATTTCCTAAATGACTCAAAATTACTTCTAACTTGTGTTACTAAACTACATTTACAAGACACAACAGTTTTAACACATTTCATACAATCTGATATTTTTGTTTCAATAGCTTCTAGGTAAATCAGTCTAAATACACAAAACCATTTCTCAATTGTCTTACTAAGCCAGACCAATGAGACGCAGAAGTTTATAACACATTTCATACAATCTGATCTTTTTTATTAAGATATTAATCTGAAATTAAGGGTTTTTTTCAATAGCTCCTAGGTAAATCAGTCAAAAAACCCAAAACCATTTCTCAATTATGTTAATAATCCACACCAATTACACACAGCAGTTTCTAATAACTTTCATACAATCTGATCTTTTTATTAGGATTTTTGAACAAAATTACGGGATTTTTTTTCAATAGCTCCTAGGTAAATTAGTCAAAATACCAACAATCATTTCTCAATGCTGTTACTAAGCTAGATCAATGAGACACAGCAGTTTTTAACACCTTTCATACGATCTGATCTTTTTATTAGGATTTTTATCAAAGCTTAAGGGATTTTTTTCAATAGCCCCTAGGTAAATTAGTCAAAATCCCCTAAACCATTTGTCAATTATGTTACTGAGCTAGATCAATGAGACACAGCAGTTTTATCAAGTTTCATACAATCCAATATTTTTTGTTAAAATTTTTAGCAAAAATTAAGGGATTTTTTTCAATAGCTCCTACATAAATCAGTCAAAAATCTCAAAACCATTTCTCAATGATGTCACTAATGGAGACCACTGAGACACAGCAGTTTTTATCACATTTCACAAGAGCTGATCATTTTTTTAGGATTTTTATCAAAAATTAAGTGATTTCTTTCAATAGCTCCTAGGTTAATTGATTTTAATACTCAAAACCATTTCTCAATGATGTCACTAATGGAGACTAATGAAACACAGCAGTTTTCAAAACATTCACAAGATCCAACCTTTTTTTTTTTAGGAATTTTGTCTAAGCATGAAAAGCTAAGGCTGATCCCCCTTCACCTTATGTAATATAAAAGCTGTAAATGTCTTCGTCGGCATCTTGGGTGAGGTCATGCACTCTGAGCAGGGACATCTTAAACATCCATCTTCAGGCAAATTCTTGTCTCTCTCTCCCAACAGTTGAGTCAAAAGATAAGTTGGGCCCTCGCTTCTGGAGGACACAAAGGAAATACTTAATCGCCATTTCAGCTAGAAAGAAAGACAAACAAATACCGGACCTCGCCCTTGAACACTAAGACCACCAGAGGCTGGATGCTGCTCAAGAACTGCAAGGACCCCAAACTCACCTCGCTCAGTGTGCTGACCAGAGCCTTGGTGGCTGTGATGTTTGTCTTTGTGAAATACTAAAACATAAACCCCATCATGGCACGTGACTAGAGTAGAGAGAATTTGGCCTCGTCACTTACTGATGAAAATGTTCACCTGAAACATGAGGCCAATTGAAATTAAATGGATGCGATTGACTACAACTTGATATGAAGCCAGGTGGTGACGAGGAACGTTCTGATTGAGAAAGGTTACCATCGACGAGATCCCCACTCTAAGACAGGAGGAAGAAGAGCATACCACCTAAGAATTTGTGGGAGGAGAGGTTTGATTGAGGTCAAAGATAAATTGCAATGGCCTGAAGCTGTGTTGCTGAGCATTGAGACATGGTTTTGAGTAATTACAGCAATTAGCTTAAGAGCTATTGAAATAAATCACTTATTTTTTAATAAAAATTCTATTAAAAAGGATCAGAGCTTGTGAAATGTGAAAACAACTGCTGTGTTTCATTGGTCTGGCTTAGTAATACCATTGAGAAATGGTTTTGAGTTTTTTTGACTGATTTACCTTGGAGCTATTGACAAAAATTACTTGGATTAGATCTTGTGAAATGTTATAAACACTGCTGTGTCTCATTGGTCTGGCGTAGGTGGTTTTGGGTATTAAAATCAATTAACCTAAGAGGTATTGAAAGAAATCACAGGATTTTTCATGAAAATTCTAATTAAAAAGATCAGATCTTGTGAAATGTGATTAAAAAGTGCTGTGTCTCATCGGTCTGGCTAAGTAACATCATTTAGAAATGGTTTTGGGTGTTTAGAGCAATTAACATAGGACCTATAGACATCACTTAATTTTTGATAAAAATCCTAATAAAATATGTTGGCTCTTGTGAAATGTAATAAAAACTGCTGTGTCTCATTGGTGGAGCTTAGTAACATAATTGAGAAATGGTTTTCAATTCAATTCAAAAATACTTTATCCTAGAGGGAAATTGATTGAGTAGTAACATCAGTTAACCTAGGAGCTATTGAAAGAAATCACTTTATTATTAATAAAAATCATAATAAAATAAAAATGATCAGATCTTGTGAAACGTGATAATAACTGATGTGTCTCATTGGTCTGGCTTAGTAATATCATTGAGAAATGGTTTTGGGCATTATGACTAATTTACCTAGGAGCTATTGAAAAAAATCCCTGAATTTTGGAATAAAATCCTAATAAAAAAGATCAGATTGTGTGAAATGTGTTAAAACTGTTGTGTCTTGTAAATGTAGTTTAGTAACACAAGTCAGAAGTAATTTTGAGTCATTTAGGGAATTATTCTGGAAGCTTTTCATTTTTTTGTCCTCGTTTACAAAGGACTACAAATTTGTTGATAGTCCCTAAGCGAACCACTGTTCCCTATAGCGAGTCGTCGGAATTCAGCTAAACCGCGGTCTGTGTCGCAGTGCACGGCATGAAGACTTATCGCTGACCGTGTAAACCAATGTCTGTCGAATATCCAACGTCCAACTTCAAGCTAACTTCACCGCGGTGTTTATCTGGATGTTATTCCGTTTTCCCTCTTCCTTTTTGCGTGTTTCCATGTTTTTTAGGGGGCGTGAACGCTTCCAAATGACTGGGCATCCCTTCCGGTAGATTAGGTCAAATTTTCCCGAGATCCGCCATGTCAGTTCCTGGAGAGTCTAGCTGCACATCAAGTTTGGAGTAGTTTTGTGGTTATTAAGTTCTAACCAGCACGTAATTGAAACTTTACTTTGAGTGTGTGTGGAAGAAATCCAGCTAGCTTAAACTTTAGTCGTTGGAAGGAAGTTGCTGTTGCGTTTACTTTCAGCGGGAGAGTTCGTAAAACAAAGTTTTTGTATGAGTTGCGGATAAGGGAGAGGCGGCGGTGGGGGAGAAAGGCCTCGAAACTTGAGACGGTATTTCACAACCATGGCCGGTAATTTTGACGCCGAAGACCGAGTCAGCTGGTACTGGGGGCAACTGAGCCGCCAGGAAACGGTCTCCCTCCTCCAGGGCCAGAGACACGGAGTGTTCCTGGTGAGGGACTCGACCACCTGCCCGGGAGACTTCGTGCTGTCGGTGTCGGAGAACTCCAAAGTGTCCCACTACATTATTAACAGCATCAGTAACAGCCGACAGTCCGGATCAGGTACGGTTTTACCATACATTCAACACTTTTTACCTCTCGTGAGTTACTTGTTTAAGTGTTATAATCGGGCTACTTTTCGACAAAGACTGACGTTTGTCTATTTAAAATAAAAATCTGGGCTCGGATGGTGTTTTGGGCGTGTTGAGGTGGGTTTGGGCCGCTACAGGGGCTCAGGAAGCGTTCAGGTTCCGATGTCACAACTGGGGCATGACTGGACAGATTGGTGTTTCAGGAATGTCTGTGATCCAGCATACCTCGAGCTGCTACTGTACCACGGATTGTTCTGGCTGTTGCACAATTTCTGTCCCCCAACAAAATCCATTAAATAACTTTAATAGTTGAAAGTGGTTCTTTTAGAGGGGAAAGTAAAACGAAACCTCCAGATGGCCATCATCAAATATGTGATTTCCTTTCATGTGTATGAATAAATATTTATACCTAAAAGAAGCAAAGTACAGATGCATCAACATTTGGTTGGCGATTGGAATCCACCAAGTTGTTTTAGCCTGTGAACACAGTTGTTGCGACACTGCAGTGAAAGAAAATCCTTAATTTCTCCCAGTAATCAACAGCAACAGTTGATTATAGGCGGTGTCCAAATTCAGGGGCAGCATCCTTGTAAGGATCCACAGCTGGTTGTGCACAGCTGTGAATTTGGATGCTCTAACGTCTTATGCTTGCCCTTACCTCAGCATGCCCTGTCGCTTAGCAACAGTGCATGAACGAATAAAGTACAATGCCATCCTGTGGTCATATTGGTTACATCAATCATTCTCTCACTCCTGATTCATGGCTATTGCCAGTTATGTATGAGAACCAGAAGGTTCTCGATAACAAGAAAAGACAAATTATACACGGTAAGTTAACTCATTTGCTGCCCGCCGTTTCCTGATCGCTAAAGCCCTTCGCTGCCAGCGTTTCTCACCGTTTTTACTGTTTTTTAAGAGTGACAGAACGTTGCATGCTAGGATGATGTCGACGTCAAAACAACCAAAACAAAGCGGAGACTCACCTCTTACATCAGGAAGAATCCGCGCGTTTCGAGCGTTATCCGTTCTTTCATAATCCGTTGTTGAATTGTGATCGGCAGAAGCTTTTTCGGTTCGCGCCTCACTTTTTTTTTACAGCAGCAGACCAAAACGATCTCCTAACACATGGATGTTCTGCTTCCTGATCACGTGACGTATGCGGATGAAAATCGGCTTTAGAGCGGAGATGTTTGTTCTCACAGTGCGGGGGCTCGTCCGACGCTCGCACAGTAAAAACATGCAAATGACGACTTTAGTCGGGTGGGTTAAAGAAGAAAAAGTAGCTTGAGATATTTTTAGAGCTGAATATTTGCTTCTTTTTCAGTGTTAGCATTGTTAGCTCAACATTAGGCTCTAGCCTTCTTTACCAGATATTAGAGTAAAACAAAAAGATGCAGTTGCTTCTTAGGGGTACACGAAATAGTTAAACACCTCTGTAGCTTTTTGCCGGTCGGCTTCAAATTACAATTGTCGGCGCTGCAGCGTTAGCTTGCAGGAGACACAGCAACCCCACACTCACTGATAGTAAACAGCTATGTCCCTCCTTTTTTAATTTTGAAAGGAGAAAAACATACAACCCCCCAGCTGGGTGAGAGTAATATATATACATACAATATAACCTTCCTTCCACTATGATTGTGACATTGGAGTGTTTGGGGATTATTTCAGTGTAGAAATCTTATTTCATTCTTACACACTGCACCTTTTAAACCAAAATCAGCAGCGATTGATGAAGTAATACAAACCTGCCATACAGCTTGTTTACAAGGAACTTTCCAATTGTTTTCAACAAATAAACAAACGACCTAACTACAACTGCTTTAAGTAGTTTTTTTTTTACCACCAGATATCAATAGACATATATTCATAACTGTAATCCTCTGTACAAGAGCAAAAACCTCATTTGGGCCAGCAATGAATTCTGGGATAGCCTTTTCCAGTAAGGATGCACCAGGTCCATTCTAGAAATTTGGGGGAAACAAGGACGCATTTTGAGTATCCTTAGAATTTGGACTGCCTTGTCGCTGCTATGTAATCTACCTTAAAATGCGACCCCAGAGAGATGCAGCCCTTGGATTTGGACTAGAGTTGTCACGGTGTGAAAATTTAACCTCACGGTTATTGTGACCAAAATTACCACGGTTTTCGGTATTATCGCATTTTTTTTTTCAGACAACTAAATAAACCCTGTATATCAGGAAATATTGTCCTCAGTTTGTGTCTAAATTTAGCCTAAAATGTGTTATTTTGTAATTATGTTGTTTATTTGTTTACATTTTTCCTCTTTAGTCTTTAAAATACCAATATTTGCCCATAACTTATTTTTGTCTGTTTGTTGTCATCATTTTAAAAATATTAGATCAGATGATACTCAGTACTCAAGTAGCCTTCTAATCAGATACTTTTTTACCCTTACTTGAGTAATAAACCCTATATCAGGAAAATATCGTCCTCGGTTTGTGTCCTTCCAGTGAGCTTTGCAGATGTGGGAAAATGTCATCAGGCAGTAATCGTTGTTAAATTCATAATTATTCTCGGAGAGAGACCAACTCTTATCTGCCCCTGGGAGCCCCGTAATGCATAGCCTCATTTCAACATGGCGGTGTCCGCGACACGGTTTATATGCAGGTAGCGGCGCTGCGGCTGCTTTATATAGCGACTCGTTGCTTTCTCCCTCAACCCAAATCCTCGGATCACGCATTTTAGCGAAAACGCTAACGTTAGCTTGCCTTGCGTTGACTGTAGAGTTGTGGGTGATGGTCACGCAGATGTGTCATGAGATTTGAAGCGTTGCTGCCTTTCACAGACACTTTTTCTGCACGTGCTGCAAACAGGATAGCCGTCTTCTATCAGCTGTCCCTCGGCATTCTTCAGATATCCAAAAGATGCCCGTACTTCCCACTTTGTCTTCTTTGAGGGATAATAAATGTCCTCCTGAGTGCTGCCGTCTCCTCCTTTGGCCATTATTTCAGCTTTAGCTTCAAGAAAGTTTTGGTTGTAAACAACAAAGTGCGCATGTGCCGCCGGCAACTTCAGCAGATGATACGGTGGCTGGTAAGGGTCACCGCGCCTACACCGCAGCCACGGTAATCCACCGAGATGATATAGTTTTTTTTTAAAACAAGACGGTTATTATTATTGTCAACTTTTTTACTGGGGTATACCGCTACACCGGTTACCGTGACAACCCTAATTTGGACACAGCCAAAGAATAATCAGAAATAGACAGAATCCGTACGAGCAGGTCAGAGCTGTACAAGAATCAAAAATTGGCGTTTGCTCTCAAAACCAGAATCGGTGCGTTCCTAGGAAAAAAAGGGTGTTTCTAAATAAAGATGACCACGGCTAAATGGAACCGAGCTTGGTTTGTCGCGATGTTCCTAAGTGGTAGTTAAAGTCTGACTGTGCTCTCATCTACCAGGTTTGGTTCCTCCCCGGTTTCGGATCGGGGATCAGGAGTTTGAGGCCCTGCCGGCTTTGCTGGAGTTCTATAAGATCCACTATTTGGACACCACTACACTCATAGAGCCTTTAAGCAGGCCCAGAAACACAGGGTTCAATGGATCCTTCTCAGCTGGTGCTCCACAGCAGCCGGAGGAGGCAGAGTACGTCCGGGCCATTTTTGACTTCCTCGGCAATGATGATGAGGACCTCCCCTTCCGCATAGGAGACATCCTGCGTGTGCTGGAGAAGCCTGAGGAGCAGTGGTGGAACGCCGCTAACCAGGAGGGCCGAGTCGGGATGATCCCTGTTCCTTATGTGGAGAAGTACCGACCTGCATCACCCCCCGCTGCTGCTCTAGGTTCTGCGGTGGGGACAGCACAGGGGGGGGCAGTGCCTGGCAGCCCAGCTGGGACCCCTCTGGTCAACCCTCCGGGGGACCCTGGTCCATATGCTCAGCCTGTGGTCAATAATCAGCTCCCCAACCTGCAGAATGGACCGGTGTATGCACGGGCCATTCAGAAGAGGGTTCCAAATGCCTACGACAAAACGGCACTGGCTCTGGAGGTAGGAAATCCACTCGTCTCCTACGAGTCTGTCTCTCAGTTCAAGTCCATCTGGCTGTTCTCTGTGGGACTCTGTTTCCTTTGTTTTGGGTCAGAGCCGGGCCGGCGTGGATTGCCCCGATTGTCAGAGTAACTCATGCGTGTGAGCAAACGCACAATAGTGCGATTGAGTCCATGAGTACGTTTACAGTTAGAGCTCTGAACAGAGACCCAGTCTGACTCTCTATAACTGTCTCAACACCGGGGCTCTTTGGTCGATTTACGACCCGTACGTTGTGTGTCCATCACCCCGCTGCCTAGAGGAACAAAGCAGAAGGTTTTATTGTAGTAACTTAAATTATGGAACGGTTTGACAAGCATTTCAGACCATTCCACAGCTAAATGCAGTCAAAAGTATTTACCGTCCTTCACGGTACTGTCCACAATACGCACATTAAAGACTTTACGCAACTCTTCAAACCACACGCAAACTCCAAGATCTACCTTAGTGTTGATTTTACATCTTATAAATTCCTCAGCTAACACACACACACACACACACACACACACACACCACTCCCCTGTATGATGGTGTGATATGAACAAACTCCTGCTTTAAAAAGATTTTCCTTAGATTAGAGTTCAACATTAACATCAGACTCGCATCTAAGGTTTCTAATAGCCGGTACTTTGACAGAAGAGAGAAAGCCACGCTACTTATGCTAGATTATGCTAGATTATTCTGTGAAAGTCTTTGAGGCTCTGCTGTTCTAGCGTAAACTCGTCGGACAGTTTTGTGTCGCTCGGCCTCGTATCTGCTTCAGCGTTCTGGTGTTGGTTATTGTTTCTACTTGGATGTTTCAGCCTTTATGGAGTGTAATGAGTGTCATACATTTTCAGACAGCAGTAGCTCAGGAGGTAGAGAAGGTTGTCCAGGAATGGGAAGGTTGCAGGTTTGATCCCGGCTCCAACCAGAGGATGCTGTTGTTGTGTCCTCGAGCAAGACACGTAACCTGCTGATAGTGGTCGGAGGGAGGTGGTGCCAGTGCTCTGCAAGCCTCGCCTCCGTCAGTGTGCCCCAGGGCAGCTGTGGCTCTACTGTAGCTCACCTCTACCAGCGTGTGAATGGGTGAATGACTGATTGTGTTGTGAAGCACCTTGGGGGGTTGTAGAACCCTAATACAGGCCATTTACCATAAATGAACCTATCCCACTGGGCGATAAGGACCAAAACTTCTATCTCTTCTATATTGTTTTAACTGATTGTGTCACCTGACCTTGTGATTTTATCACTTTGGTACTTAACGTGAGTTCATGTGTAGTACTTTTACTTTTTATGAGGTATCCCTTATTTTAATGTTTGTTGTTTTTACACTGCTGTGTTCACCGCTTTGGGCTGCCTTGATTGGCAGCAGGACGGCGCTCTGTAAACAAGTAAATGAAATATAATTCTCCATTACAAGTAAATTATTCACAAAAAGTCAGTAAAGAGTCAAGCGACATGTAGGTCATGCAGCATGGAGTCATTAACTCATTCACTGCCAATGACGTCGTTGGCATGTTTTTATCGTGTGGGCGTCGGACGAGCCCCCGCACCGTGAGATCAAACATCTCGGCGCTAAAGCCGATCTTCATCCGCATACGTTACACGTCACATGATCAGGAAGCAGAACATCCATGTGTTAGGAGATCGTTTTGGGCCGCTGCTGTAAAAAAAGTGAGGTGCGAACCGGAAAAGCTTCTGCCGATCACAATTCAACAACGGATTATGAAAAAACGGATAACGCTCGAAACGAGCGGATTCTTCCTGATGTAACAGGTGAGTCTTCGCTTAGTTTTGGTTGTTTTGGCGTCGACATCATCCTAGCATGCAACGTTCTGTGACTCGTAAAAAGGGTGAGAAACGCTGGCAGTGAATGAGTTAAAGATGGGATTTCCCAGTCATAACTCTGATAATAAATGGTAAATGGTCTGTAATTGTATAGCGCCTTCTTAGGGTACTACAATCTCCCAAGGTGCTTTACAACACAATCAGTCATTCACCCATTCACTCACACATTCACACGCTGGTGGGGATGAGCTGCAGTGTAGCTACAGCTGTTCTGGGGACAGAGGCGAAGCTGCTGAGCACTGGCGCCACCGGTCCGTCCAACCACCACCAGCAGGCAAGGCGGGTTAAGTGTTTAGCCCAAGGACACAACAGATGCATCCTCTGGTTGGAGCCGGAATCAAACCCGCAACCTTCCGATTACTGGACAACGTGTTCTAGCTCCTGAGCTACTGCTGTCCCAATACTATGATAATAATAATATTGTTTGTCTTTTTCCTCTCATGAACAGGTCGGCGACATGGTGAAAGTGACTAAGATCAACATGAGTGGCCAGTGGGAGGGCGAATGCAAAGGGAAACGAGGCCACTTCCCCTTCACCCACGTCCGACTGCTGGAGCAGCTGGACGACGAGAGCTGAGGACGCCCCATCTCCTCGAGCCTCGCTGAGTTGTTCCTGTTACGTCATTCCTAACAGCAGACAGGCGACGACCGACACACCTGTCTGCTGTTACTCGTAATAAGTTTCTATCAGATCCTGTAGTCTCTGTTTTAAGAAGCCTCACCAACACATTTAACGTCGGCTGCAAACGGTCTGAAACACGAGATGAATTATTTTTATTCCAGCAGTTGGGAGCATTTTTGGATTTGATATTTATTGATTTTATGCACATAATTGCCGATCTTTCCAGGTTAGCTCTGAGGATAAATGCAGGAGTTATTTACTCTATTGAAGAAAAATGAATACTTTTACTGTAAATTAAGTTTGTTCAAAAAGACACGAGAAGAAAAAGTTTGTGTTTTGTTGCCCGATTTTTTTTTAAGTGGGCAAAAACGTCTCAAGTCATCAGTAAAATGTTGGATTTCTGCCTTGTTCTGGTGCAGGTTGTAGCAACCACTGGATGTTCTAATACCAAACCACAGACGTGTGCACGGGATCAACGCTTTTAGGATTTTCTTCCATTTTCACACGTGGAAGCCTCAAAAATGACCAAGTTTGTAAAAAAAAAAAAAAGATCAACCTGTGAAACTAATGTCATTAATCTTCACCATTCCACAGAATGATGTTTTTTTCTACTATTTATAGTTTTCATTAACTACGGACTATTTTAAATGCCAAAAATGCAAACGGGCAAACAATTGTGTATTTTCTAGTTATTGTGGGGGTATCCTTTAATTGTGGCATAATTGTTATCAGCAGGACACGCTAAACTGAAGAAAATGTTGTTTTTTGGTCATGTGCTGCAATTTTAATTCATGTTTTCCTTTTTTGTTCCAATGCCTAAAACTGAGTTTTAAGAACAGCATTGAATCATGTGAGAACAGTGATGTCATCTACAGTACAAACATGATTCTGATCAATAATTATTTATATAAAATATTCAGCATCAACTCTTCCTGCTCATCACTTTATAATTCTCCAGAAGGTTAGCTGCTCGCTTCTAATTCAGTGGTGCCCAAACTCTGGTCCACGGCCACCCAACGCAGGGGGACCCCACCACCTTTTCTATCCTGAGGTTGTGGGGTTACCAAGATTATTTTCTACCATAATTACATTTAAAATTCCAATAATCTGATCAAAACCCTGCCTAAAGTTTGTAACTGATCACTTTTAATGTTTGTATGCATGTAGGAGTCTGTTAGGGTCCTTGGATTACCATGGAAACAGGCAAGGGGGTCCTCAAGGAAAAAAGGTTGGGAACCAATGCTCTAGTTTATGGCTTTTTAGCTGTTTGCTTGTTCAAAAGCAGTCAATCTGATCAGAATAGGATTGAGGGGAAAAAGCGAGAAAATAGGCTCATTTTCACTTTTTACTTTTTATCAGACTGGTTGCATGTGTTGAAACTAGGGATGCACGATATATCGGTATCAGTACCTGTATCGGCTTAACATATCGATCCAATAAGACTGGGCCAATACGATGAGATATTTTTCCATCTAGGTGCCATTTGTGCATGTTGTTTGTTTGTTTTTTTTGGGGGGGGATGCAGTTGTGTTGTCGTGACTCGTGACGGTGATAGTACCATAACTTCTGGACTATTTGCTGCTATTTTCTCGACACGCTTTGAACATTGTGGTGTAAATGATTACGTGGCTCATTTATGGAGTTTACAAGCCTCGAGATGAAAGTGACGAGACGGAGACAACGAACGGGAGACTTCGGACTGGTGTGACAAAGTTATTCTGAGGCTGTCCGTCTCTGACAATAAAGAAAGACTTCTAGTGGTTTTAGTGCGCAGGAGAAAGATAAAGATGGTGAGCAGTGACCGTTCTCGCTGGGCTAACGTACCAGTATTTGTTTTAACCCAGCCATGTTACAGGCAGCGGTTGGACCAGAAAGAACATGTAAGCCACAAAGCATTTAAAGGTCAAATATGGAACACGGACACCACAGCGACATCTAATGTGTGGAGGTTGTAGTTGCAATAGAACAAGGTTTCCAGCCATCAGGATACCAGGTTCGCTGCTGGTACTTGAAATTTTTTATGAGTGTCCATCACCGAAACTCTCTCTGGTTTTAGATCTTTTATGGTTGCTCCTCTTCTGAGAAGGATGACGTTTTCTGAGCTCAGAAGCAGCTGCTTGACTGGCCGAGTCCGACATTTCCACTGCCTCGCTGTGCTGAGCGGACTGTTGGTAACTCGCGATGGCTGGTAGAGGCAAACGTACACCCAGGGCCGTGCTTCTAAAGGAAATGCTGTACCTTCATTGTGCACACCTCTTAATGGCCAGTTATTTAAAAATAAATTGTTCCATATTCAAGCTTCAGGTAAAAGTTGGAAAACGTGTATTTGTATCATCTTTCTGTATACCTTATGTAACAGGTACAGTTAGGTGGTGGCTTATTGTCAGGTGCTCTCAGTAGTCTGTAAAACGTAATAATCTCAGGATGTAATGATAAATATCGGCCTTAACAGCATTACTAATATAGATAACTGCCCACTTTTGCATATCTCTACATCTACTTGAAACCACAAATGGAAGATTTTGTTTTAAAAAGTGAAAATTTGTGATTTCTTCTTGTTTTAGTTTGAAGTCTGAAATGTTGGATTCTGCTTCAGGCTCACCAGACTGAATTGAGGATTCCAGATGCCCGAGTCAAATTTTTCATGCATGTTCAAAATTACAGCAGCACAAAACCAGGCGTGTGATTTGCAATCATTTGGAGACGTGGAAGCCTCTCTGGTGAATGCTGATAGAGATGTGCTGTGCCCCGTGTGTGAGCGTGACCCTTCCTAAAGCCGTCGCGGTGTTAGTGCGGTGATGCTGAACGATCCCTTGTTTGGCGAACTGTCTTGCTTCCTTTTGATGGACTTTTTGGTGTCGGTGAAACTCCAGCTCGCATACCTCCAGCAGCATCTGCACTAGCGGGAAAGGCCTGCCTCCTTCATTCCTGTCATGCTTGCGTCGCCTCGCCCGGGACTTCTGGTTCTCCGGGGAGAGGTCACCAATTCCACACGGGAGACGACACACTGCTGCTCATGCAGAATCGTCCATCTGAAGCTTTCCCTAACCAGACGGCGACTCTCCGAGCAAAACGATGGAATCACGAACGCGACTTCCCTAAAACACCTTCACTAACGTTTTACAATACAAACACGTTTATTTGTACAAAAGGTGGATCACAACTGTTGATGCATACTTTATATGTTAAAACTGCAAGTGTTATGTATTTTTCTTTTGCATAAAATATTGTATTCTTTTAAATATAACTGTTGTGTGTGAATTTAAAGTAAGAGACCAATGCATCACAGCAAGGAAGGAGAATTTATCAGAAGATGCCTTACGTTCTGTCTCATGCTTCATCAGTTAACTCAAAACTTGAATTATGTAAACAACAAAAAGGCTATTAAAACTATTTGGTTTTTATATTTAATTCAAATGCATACTGGATGTTTTTGAACAGCATTTATAATTTAGGATTTTACATTTTCACTGTTTTCAGGAATTGATTGTTTTGTAAACAAATGTAGGAAATTTGCCATCCAACTTGATCTGTTTTGAAGCTAAAGAGCAAATATTTAAAATAGTTTTCTTTATTTAAACTTCAAGTTTTATGTTGAGATTTAAGAACACTGATATTTAGCTAATAATTTGTTTATTTTTGATGCTTCATCCCCAGATCAGTTAAATTAATCAAGCTAATTTTAAAAGCAAACTCCAGACCTTAAATGAGCGTAGTCTGGGAAAACCTATTTTCAGTTATTTGTGCTTTATATTTAATAATTTATTGAATAAATTTGGTTTAAATTGTGAAAACTTTAAAAGGGGATAGTGATAAAATTGCAATAGAAACAAAAGTTAACTGAATTAAGACACTGATTAAACTGGGACTAGCAACTGCCCCTTGTAATCCAACCTTAAACACTACTCAAGTCAATAGTATTAAATAAACCAATTCTATATGATTCCAACACAAACTTGGATTATTTTACTGCTATTTAACGCTCCCAAGTAATTGCAGACAGGTGAGATTCTGCCTTTAACATATTATGTACAATTATTTGTCATTAGAAATCTGTCAATCATAAACTATGCTTAAGTGATATAAATATATTTAAAATAATTTACTGTGCTTTATGAATGAAAATGGTAAATATTACTTATTAAAACATTAGATGGTTTTGAACGTGGTCTGAATGTATATAAACGAAATTATATAAGGTTTAAGTGAAAACTGCTGATTTAAGAGTGAGTTTGAGTGCATTTGGGGACTCGGCTGGAACGTGAAGGCGTGATGCTGCGTGGATTTCCCGGATGGAGCAGCGGCGCCATCTTTACGCCTCTGTGACCGGCGGGCGGCTCTTCGGCTCGGCTCAGCAGAGCGGCGGTGCTGTTGCTCATCCACCACCAAGACTTGCCGAGCTGCCGATAATCCTCCCTTTCCACCGGGTCGCTAGGACGATCCCCACCACCTGAGCACCATGGGAGAAAGAGAGAACTTAGTTTATCAGGCGAAACTGGCCGAACAAGCGGAGAGATATGACGGTAAGACAGGCACACAGCTAACGGTCATTTCAGGGTGCTTGGCCGCCGTTCCCCGTCCGTCTCCCCGCGCAGGGGTCTTGCAGGTGAGGCGTTCACATGGATCTGTTCAGTGAGAGGAGACAAAATGGCGGATCATTTCTCGGCCCAATAAAGTGACAATTACAGTTGTTAATAATTAGCTTCACGTCATTTGAGCAGCACAGCCTGCTTGGTGGAATCGTGTCCCGTTGTGCGCTTTATTGTCGGGCGACCATTTTTGGTTGTTCGGGCGCTGTGTGTGCTACGCTGTTAGCATTGGTCAGCTAGCCATCCAGATCGTTAACTAGCTAGTTAGCCTTTCTTCAGTCCCGAACGCCAACCTCTGTTCCAGGACAAAATAAATTATGACTTTCACTTAAAATGAGTATTTATCAGCCACACACGCAACATGAATCGTTTTCCTCGACCGGACAGACGGAAATTCATAGAAATGTGCAGCAGTTAAAGCTCACCCACCGCCCCCACAAGTGTTTGGACATCAGGACCATTTGATGGAAGTCCTCCTCATGTAGAGCAGGAGGACAAACATCTCACCCTCTCCTTCCAGGACTAAATTAATATTTAGTGGCTATAAAATTAACAAGGTTTGGTTGTCAATCTTCTATGACTGCGTCTTTATTTAACATTGTACTTTTAAATATTTAGTGTGTCATCTTTTACTTTTTGTTAAATTAATTTTTATATTGTCTATTCAGAGTTCTGATAGATATTATAAATGCTATCAGCCTGATTTCCTTATTTTTAGCACAAGACTGAGATTAATTATATAAAATTATAATCATATTTATGTTTATTTATTTAGCAGACGCTTTTATCCAAAGCGACTTACAGTTTATAACCTTTAGGGCATGTTGTGATCTGTGGGGGAAACCGGAGTACCCGGAGGAAACCCACGCATGCATGGGGAGAACACGCAACTCCACGCAGAAAGGCCGCTGCCGAGTTTCAAACCTGCAACCTTCGTGCTACGAGGCAACAGTGCTAACCACTGCACCACCATGCTAGGTGTTTACGGAGTTTTGAATTTTTATGCTCGCGATCGCCCCCTCAGGCCAAAAGCGTAACAGCAGCTTCAATAGTAGGCTCGTGCACGAGGCGCGCTTGCTGTACGTGCACACTCCTCAACGAAAATAACAGCTGAGACAGTCCCGTGTGTGTGTGTGTGTGTGTGTGTGTGTGTGTGTGTGTGTGTGTGTGTGTGTGTGTGTGTGTGTGTGTGTGTGTGTGTGTGTGTGTGTGTGTGTGTGTGTGTGTGGCCCAGAGGACAGGAGAACGTGCAGCTAATTAATTAAATAATGTGGTTCTGTACCTTTCTCTTCAGCACAGCCGACAAAGGTTTATGATGGGTCAGTCCTCCTGCATGCTCACATCATTCCCTTCCCTTGCTTGAAAATTTGTTCCAAAAATGAACGTTGAACCCACATCTTTTTTATCTGTGAATCCAATGCCGTTCGGCGAGTCTCAAATAAAAATTTGGGCATCTTACTGTAAAAAAATATACCATTAATGTAAAAAAATAAACTCTAAAACAACCATGTTCACATCCAGAATCGAACCTGCGTCTTCTGCACGAAAGCCCGAAATCTTACAAGGTGAGCTAAAGCGACAGTGACGTCTTCTGTATCTGTAACATTTATATCTTGATGACAGCTGAAACAACGTTCAAAGAACAGTTTGGAGGGCGATGTCTGAGCGTGAACGCGCATGAAGCAGCCTGCTCGACCCGAGCATCTCTCTTTTTCTGTGATTTTACAGAAAAACAGGCAATCCCAGTAAAAATGCCAGGGCTCATTCTACAGGACCAGGGCGTTGCAGGAGAACGTATGAAGAAGACATTTATTATTTCTATACATGTTTTGGCTGTCACACTTCCATAATGTCCCTTTAATTAGGACCAAGTTAAAGATTTAGGCCTAAAATCCGTACTGCATCAACATTCTTATTTAATAAATAACTTTCAAATTGCTGTATTACGGACATTTTTGTGACAACGTTGTTTGTTTACTTGTTTATGCGGCAATGAAGCAACCGAATCAATAATCAACTTGTATGGTCCAACTAGAAGTGAAATCCTATGAGATGAAGTTGATGCCGTTGAATTTTAGCATCGGGTTTAGAAGAAAACGACTGAAAGAAAATGAAAATAGTGGTAAAAATGAGATGAATGAAAATCATTCTTGGTTATACCGTGACCAGCTGGGATTAAAGATGCACCGATGTTAATGTTTGGGGCCAATGCAGATATTAATATCACTGTTAAGGCCAATAACTGATTATTGCCGATACCGATACACTTACTCTTCTGATATCAGAAATTTTTGAATAGACTGAAAATTATGCAAGCTGAATTTTTGAATGTTTTGCTTTATTTTTACAAAGTAGAATTTGAAATATTACACACACACACATACACACACATTTACGCTTCTGAGATGATTGTCATCACTGTCGCAGGACTAAACAACTACACATCATCACCTCCTCACCCTCTGAATCCGATACAAAATGTAAACGAGATGAAAAAAATATCGGTTTTTAATATCGGCTCAGTTTTACTTATCGGACTGATACTGATGTGTTTAAATGTGATTAACATCAGCCGATGCCGATTTTGATGTCGATATATTGTGCATCCCTCGCTGGGAAGTTATGTAATAACTTCAACAGGCCTGACAGTTGAATTACATATAATTAAAAATAGGTAACTTAAAGCAACGCTCAGAACACCATCAGTCTTACCAAAACCTGTACAACTGGTAAGTAAAAGTCGAGATTAAAATATTTTTTCTGACTGCTTCAAAAGCTTTATTGTTCCAAGCAAACGCACAAATAAATTGGATTTTGTTGAGATTGAATGCAGAATAATATTACTGGATATTATCTACCTTTTCATGTGTGAAAAACCAATAAAGAATCTCTTGTTATGCTTGATTAGGACGAAACAGTCTAAATGGTTTTTGTGGATCTCTTTGTTGGCGTGGCCCCTGGTTTTCTGCTTTTGCATGGATTTTATATGCGGCGTGTTTTGAGTTCATCCACAACATGATTGGGTTTGTGAAGAGCAACACACACACACACACACACACACACATCAGCAGAAACTCACAGGAGGCAGCAAGCCTCACCAGAATGCTCACTCGTTTGTTTCATACGCTCCCACACCGTCTTCTCCTGCTCATCTTTCTGACATTTAACTTTGAAGCTGGGTGGAAATTGTCCACCAGGAACCCAAAGCACTTTGCAACCGTTTACTGTCTTGTTGGAAAAATCTTTAGAAGCTTTTAAAGCACACACATGCATGGAAACCGCTACTGTGCTGACTGATTTATTTATTTTTACTGCCCGTCTGAAGTGAAGTAGCCCCAAATGGTAAAAACACAGGTGTGAACATTAGGTAGGGTGTGATGAACCGTCCACCCGTCACACGTGGAGCTCTCGCTTCTCCTAACATCTGAAGAATGCACAAAAGAAGCCTTGCTGCAGCTTCTGGTGTGGCCTGGTGTCTGTTGGTTGTCTGTTCATTAGATAGACGTGGAGCACAAATGTTTTCTGTGATCTGGATTACACACACGCAGGACAAATGTTTCTCGCTGTGTTGATGCCAACGTCGTGATCCGCTCTGCAGATCTGTTCAGCTTGTAAATCTGAGAGGCCGCTGTTAAAAGCTCAGCAGAGCTGCAGAGGTGATTCAGGGGAGAAGAAGTGATGTGAAGTGCTCCTCCTGGCTTGTGACCATCGTGTATTGGGTTGCACCATCACGCGGAGTTTTGTCTACAGCTTCCACCTCTGGATGTTGGATTAAACCCCACATGGTGACCTACCTGGTTAAAACGGGGCTGCTCGGTTCATCTAGAAGGTGCCAAAAGTACATTTAAAGACGCAAAGTTAGAGGTCCGATGACGTAAATAATACAATTAAACAAGTGTTTTATTTCAGTGTTAGAACTGACTGTTCATTCCTTAAGTGTATAAACATTATTTCATTAAAATCTACTGATCTGCATCAGTACAATCAACATACAGTATAATCAATAAAGTACATACAGTTACGCCAGTCTGGGGATTATTGTAATCTGGGCTACTTTCATCTGGATGCAGGACAAATCTTTACATGGACCAAGTAGCAGCTGAGACAGGATGCAGCCAGAAAGGGTTTGGGGGTGTTTCTCATGGAGAAACGCTGTAACATGAAAACAAGCTCTAAAAAGTGGGTTTTCCATCATATTCCCTCGATGCTTTGCTGAAAATAATTTTCTTTTTTCTTATTTTAAGGCTTTCCTGAAAAGTGTCGGATCGGGACTCGATCAGCAGATTCTCAAACTCAAATGAGGCTGAATCCGATCGGGAGCATTCCCAGTTAAAGACTAATACTCGGTTTAATCGTTAGTAAAACAAAAAAACTCTTTGTTGACTAAAACTAAAATGTACTTTAGTCAAAAGGACTGAGACTACAGCTAAGGTGGTCATCAGTAACACTGGTGAGGGGAGGACGTTTCTATTCTGAAGTCAGACTGGATCTAGAAGGAGGATTCGAATGTCATGGCTGTGACTTTTCAGCTGTGGTTTAAATTTCCTTTCCTCACTTTGAATATTTGGTCCGTTACTGTTTGAACTTGGTCTCTTTTGCCTTGTCGAGCAGACGCTTCACATTTCTAGTTTTCGTGTCTCACAGAAATGGTGGAGTCGATGAAGAAGGTGGCCAGTATGGATGTGGAGCTGACGGTGGAGGAGAGGAACCTGCTGTCTGTAGCGTACAAGAACGTGATCGGAGCCAGAAGAGCCTCGTGGAGGATAATCAGCAGCCTCGAACAGAAGGAAGAGAACAAAGGTGGAGAGGACAAACTAAAGATGATCCGTGAATACAGGAAAACGGTTGGTCTCCTCGCCCCGACAGCCCGCCCTCTGGTCTCGTTATGCTCCTTCTGAGCTAATAAAAATATAGTTTTCCTCAAAGATGGAAACCCTCAGTCAGCTTTCAGTTGCTTACAATTAAAAACGTTGGTTTTATTTTTATGTTGGTCTGCAGGTTGAGAAGGAGCTGAAATCAATCTGCAACGATATTCTGGACGTGCTGGACAAACACCTCATCTTAGCTGCTACCACGGGGGAATCCAAGGTTTTCTACTACAAAATGTAGGCATTCATGACTAAATACATCAAAGTGAACGGATGCATTTCCACTGCGCAGCGTAAATGAGTACACCCCCTTTAAAAATACACATTTAATCAGCAGATCGATGAATAAAAGAACATTTCCTGAGTTTTCACAAGGCTGGCTTTTATAACGGGATTAAGGTTAATAATGTAACTTAGATCACAAAAGCTTCAGTTTTACTGAAACTGGCTGAAGCAAAAGTGAAAACACCCCCCCACAAGAACTACAACATCTAGTATTTTGTATAACCAACATGATTTTCAAGGGCAGCACCAAGTCTTCTAGGCATGGAATGAACAAGTTGGCGACATATTGCAAAATCTGTCTTCTTCCATTCTTCAAGGATCTTCTCTTTTAGAGCCTGGAGGCTGGATGGAGAGGGATGCTCAGCTTTCTGCTTCAGAACTGCCCACAGGTGTTGGATTGGGTTCAGATCAGCAGACATACGTGGTCTTTCAGTCACCTTCACCCTGATCTTCTTCAGAAACACAGCAGTAGCTCTAGATGTGTGTTTGGATCATTGTCGTGTTGGAGAAGTGCGCGGAGTGATGGCAGCATCTTCTCCTTCAGTGTAGAGCAGGACAGTGTTGAGTTCATGACACCATCAGTGAAATGCAGCTCCCCAACACCAGCAGCCCGCATGAGGACACTGCCACCACCGTGCTTCACTGTGGGCACCATGCTTTTCTCTCTGAAATCCTCACCTTTAAAGCCCCATACAGTTTAGAAACCATTGGTTCCAAAAACGGTGATCTTTGTCTCATCACTCCAGAGTCTAGGGTCCTAGGAGTCTTCATCTCTCCGCATGGCCTCTAGCAAATCCTAGGTGTGCTTTATTGTGTGTGGGCTTTAGTAGAGGCCTTCTTCGTGGATGATACCCATGCATGCCATTCCTCTGCAGCGTGCGCCGTGTGGTCTCACGGGAAACTTCTACTGCTTTAGCTAACTGCGGTGAACTGGCACGGCGATTTTCTTCAACCCTTCTCGTCAGACGACGCTCCCGTCGACAACTTCCGTGGACGTCCTGGACATCTCTGTAAGATGGTTGTGCTTCCATCTTTCTTACATAATTGGATGGCGTTTGCTGCAGTATCGTGACTGATGTGTGGCGCTCTGCTGAACCCTCATCTTTTCTGTGTGAAGATTTAGTTTCATTTCTCTTCCATGTGGAGGCGTTGTTGACGGCACGAGATGGGAAGGGCTTTTCTTTTATAGTCACCTGTCTGATGGACACCTCTTACATGAACCGTTAGACTCACCTGTAGGTGAACGCCTGTGAATCCAAATGTTGTTGTGACTTCTCTCCTAAGACTATAGTTGGGGTGTACTCATCTTTGCAACATGGGCTTGAATAGATTTGTTAGGAAAATCACTTTTGTGTGAGAAAACGAACACATCCACGTTAGTGGGAGCAATCTGAAGTGTGGCATCTCCTAGAAAATGTTGATTCTGACCGATGTGGCGGGGTGTACTCATTTATGCTGAGCACCTAGGTAAACTCATTAGTTTGCATTAATTATTTAATGTGATTTTCAGTCTTAAGAAATTCTGAAATAAATGCGTTTCTGGATCTTTATTATTATTTTTGTTATTTAAAACGAGCTTTTCTCAAGCAGGTTTATGTTTATTAAATACACAACATGGACGTAGTCATCGCCATAGAAACGTGAACATTTAGGTGTCTGCTATAGACCTATGATGCATAGATGCTGATAATATTACTTCTAGTGAGGTTTCTTCCTGTTAAAGGGAGTTTTCCTCCACATGCCTGCTTAGTAAGAGGACTGCTAGTCGGTGTCTTCACACACAAGTCAGTGACCTGATGGGTTTCCTTAGGTAGGAAACCTTTAACTGTTGTGATGAACTAGGGCTGGACGATACGGCCTAAAATCAATATCACGATATATGGAGGATTACATGTCGTGATTTGGCGCCATATAAATAAACTTGAATTGAATTGAATTCACCTCCGACGATAAGTGGACGATGACTACAGGTATGCGCAGAAACAAAGGTTGTCCACTAGACGGGCGGTCACATGCATTACACACATGTATATATACATGTGTGTAATGCATGTATATATACATGTATATATACATGTATATATACATGTATATATACATGTATATATACATGTATTATTACACTGAGTCACACTTTTGCTTGACTCAAGGTGGAACAGCTTCTTAGACATGAATGTTGCCCACCTACACGCATCTTTTGTTCTTTATGATCAAATTTATCGACGTAGGTCAGAAATTTAGATAACGATACATTTTCGATTTATTGCACAGCCCTATAATGAACTGATTACTGATGCAGTGTGAATGATTACTGGTTGTGACTTGGTGCTAAATAAATGAACTTAATTGGATTACTTCCATGAAAGCTTGAGTGTTTGTTGTTATTGTAGCGGTGGCTGGATTGGTCCTGGTCGTTTAGACGTGACCTGCCAGGATGCGTCTGTGAGAAAGCTGACCCGTCTGACCTTTGTGTTTGTGCTGCTCAGGAAGGGAGATTACCACAGGTACCTGGCCGAGTTCGCCACAGGCAACGACAGGAAGGAGGCCGCTGAGAACAGTTTGGTAGCGTACAAAGCCGCGAGTGACATCGCCATGATCGAACTCCCTCCAACTCACCCCATCCGCCTGGGACTGGCCCTTAACTTCTCAGTTTTCTATTATGAAATCCTCAACTCCCCGGACCGTGCTTGCAGGTACGTGATGGAGACCCTGAGATAATCTTTTATATTTGGTCAAATCTAAAACGCACGGAAACGCCCAACTTCCTGACTTGTGTCAAATGTTTGTAAAGTTTCAGTGAAACTGCTGTTTTACTTTTTCAGATTTTCTATCGAACTTTTAGAAATTAGAAGACAAACGGTTCCTTTCAGCGTTTAGACATTGATGGTTCTCCTACAAGGATTAATTTCATTTCTGTGTATTTGGTCTTATTTTGTTGCTTTTAAAGTAATAAAATCGCTGGACATACTAACGGATTCTCCCTGTAGGCGTCTACTGATGACGCTGCCTTTACTTTTGCATTTCCTCTCCTGGCAGGTTGGCGAAGGAAGCCTTTGATAACGCCATTGCAGAACTGGACACGCTGAGTGAGGAAAGCTATAAGGACTCAACACTTATCATGCAGCTGCTACGCGACAACTTGACGCTATGGACCTCAGACGTTCAGGGAGACGGTGAGAAAAATGGTACAGGTGCTCAGAACTCCTTATTCCCCTCCTGAGTTACTCAGATGTTCCTGTAATTGAGTCTAACATGTTATCCTGAACCTCACTCCAACATCTAGAAACTTGTTTTTTAAACAAACCTCTCCTGAGTCCAGCGCTGTGACTAAATCTGAGTCATCCCTTCTCCTCTTCCGTTTCCTCTAACGCTTCATCTCCCACTCATTCCTCTGTAGACTCTTAAGGACGGTCCTCTTCCTTCCTCCTCCTCCATCCTAAGAGTGTGTTTTGTAAGTCATTCCTCTCGTCTTGTGCTTTTTCACCTCAGACTCACTCCTGCCTAGCCGCTCTTAACACCTCACCAGCTTCCTCACAGCAGCTAGTCTCACCCTCTGAAGAACACCGCTATATTCACCCAACTCTAAACACACTTTTGTTTTGCTGTTTGAGTGGAGGGTTGTGTCTCAGGCCTAGTCCACACGTAGCCGGATAAATACGTTGTTAAGGACATGCCAGACCTGTAGGGGGCAGTACTTCCCCCGTTCTTAACCTCGTCCTTCGTCTGTGGTCTTCCGCAAGGAGCAGTAATTCCTCTTGCAAAAACAAACAAGCAGAAAGCGCTTGGACCATTGATGAAGCGAGCGCAGCTCTGAGGGCGTCCATGCTGTCGGCTAGTGTAAACACAGGTCGCACACGTGATGTCAGCATTTTTAGTCGTGGAAAGTGACGTTGCGGACCTTAAAACTCCGGTTTTGTCCGTCCACACGCAGACGCCCAAAACGGAGAAAACGCAGATCTTCACTTTGGCCGGAGTTTTTAAAAAGATCCGTTTTCGTGTGGATGACAGGCACAGGAGTTAAGAGCTCGCCCCGTAATCGGAAGGTTGCAGGTTCGAGCCCCGCTCAGTCTGTCGCTGTCGTTGTGTCCTTGGGCAAGACACTTAACCCACGTTGCCTGCTGGTGGTGGTCGGAGGGACCGGTGGCGCCAGTGCTCGGCAGCCTCGCCTCTGTCAGTGCGCCCCAGGGCAGCTGTGGCTACATGGTAGCTCATCCCCACCAGCGTGTGAATGACTGATTGTGTTGTAAAGCGCCTTGGGGGGTTCCAGGACTCTAGAAGGCGCTATATCAAATACAGACCAAACGTAGAAAAACATCTACGTTTAGCAGATCCCGGGCTGCGTGTGGACAGGGCCTTGGTGTCCCCAGGGTGTCCTCAAGCTGGAGGAAGTTGGGCTTCAAATCCCAGCTTCACTTATTCTGAGTGTGTCTTCTCAGATCCACTAAAATAAAACCATCATGGATCAATTTAAAGGGATACTAAGCAGTTCTGCTTGCTTTTAGCGCCCCCTAGTGTCCGTTTGTAGAAGCAAAACTATCTCCTTGCTGTGCGTTCGTCTTTTTAACAACTTCATCTACCAGCTGAAACGTCTCCCAGCGTTCCTAAGTGGCTAGAGGAGCGATTCATCACCAAATTAAGCAAATCAGCTGTGTTCATGATCTAAAACGTGCTGAAACCAGACAGCAGAGCTCAATGTTTTCCAAGTCCCAGCAGACCAGACAAGTGGGGTGTTTAGGCTGCAGGGGGCGATAGGAGCTGGGTGGCCTGTCGTTAATCCTGTAAAGGGTCATTTTAGCGCGTACTGGCTCAAGAAAATCATTAAAAATGCGAAAAGGTTGCAAATTGCCCCGTTAACATCCTTTATTGTGAAGCTTCCTGGTTTTGGACAACTTTCATCTCGGATCATGCGACCACATTTTGTGGGATCGTCTTTCAGGTCCAGGTGATGAGTGGAATGATGCAGAGGGTCATTTAAAGGCTGCAGCTGTTTCCTGGTTTCCCACTCAACACTGGGAGTGCCATGCTAGTGGTGTGCTAGGGTTTTACTGGATGAGAAGGGAAGTCGGAGTTGACTCATCTCTGAGCCGATGGAGTCGGTAGTCACAGAGCCAGGAGGTAGCGTTTGTGAGGGAAACCTGAAGGAACCCTTAGAACGGTTGTGAAGAACCTCACGGGGCCGTGCATGCAGACGACTAGTCAGACTAAACAATCCAAGAAAATCTGCACATTTCCTCTTGTTCACTTGTAGCCTAGACACACGGGGCGAATAGATGCTAGGCTCACAGAACCTCGCCTGAAATCGGTGTCTGATGATTAGAGATGCCTGCGACTAGAGGCAGACGATCTATCGGGCTGATATTTACCGTTTTTGTACGTCAACATCAGCCAATATTTGTCCTGAGTGAAGCCAGTTATAAAGTCGGGCACATCCTCGTGCAGCCGGCCTCTGTAGCAGGATTTAATTTGTTCACTAACAACATCTACATGGTAAATATTCTAAGTTAACTCTATTTGGGTGTCTGACTTTAACACTGAGCAGTGCACAAAGCTGAGATTTAAATTTCTAAGTTCAATTCAGAGTTCAAAAACTGATCCGGCTTCAGGAAGTTTGTGCATCAGTGTTGTAATTAGTGACATTTGAGCGTGAAAATAAGGTGGATGGATATTGGCCACGCTGACTGCGTCCTCTGCATACCGGTCGACCTCTACCGGCGACTGTTTTAGAGAGAATTTGTTGTGAGAATTTAGGAAAATATGATAGCAGCAACACAAACACAAGGCCCTGTGGCACACACCAGGAAGCTGACGGCCATTTTGGAAATTCCCATGAGAGTGAAGTTGGAGCCATGAAGCCCCAGTTAGTGGAATTTCATCACTTTGGTTGTTTTTATTTTTATTAGGGAAACTCGAGCAAGGGTTAGCCTTGGTGTTCAGCATCTCTGCACTTCTCCTCTTAGTGAGTCCACTCATTAGCCTTCCAGCGTGCTTTTGTCGTTGCTGTGAAACCTCAGAAGCACTCCTGCTGCTGAGCTCACCCGTTACCGTCTGAGCTCGAGTCGTGTGTTTGTGCCAGGAATGCGTCCGTGTTGCTCCAGGATGACGTTCGTCTGTTTTTGAGTGAGATTTCACGTAATCCGATTGAATCGGTGTTCTGTTAGACATCGCTTCGACCTGAAACGACGCTGAGGTTTCAGTAAATATAACATTTTGGCTCATCACACAGTTGGACTGAACCAAAGATGTGTTAATCTTCTTCTCTTGTTTGAATGTCATCACCCCCGTGCAGTAAAAGACTACGTGAGCCATATCGGGGACCCAGAGGCTTGAGGACACCCTGCTCCTTCACTCTGACTCCAGATGTCCGGTTCTTTATGGGATCCGAGTTTGGACTCGTTGGCTTCTGAGTAAAGACTCCTGCAGCGTTCTCACGTCCCGTTTGTTAAGACTCTAATGAGCGCTCTTACGCTTTCTATTCTAATCACGATGGATCGTCGCCCTTTGTTATTTGTGCCCCGTACAGTCTTCATTACACGGGTGGCTGTGCCGTCCCCATGGTAACCTTTCTAAGCAACCTGTCGTACGGCTTTTCCAGGGCTTTCTGCCTGTCGACTCGGTCTAATCCCAGTCTGACGACGACACTGAATTAGTTTCTCACCGGCCTGCATGTCGGACCGCGGTTGGTGGGGAACCTGGGAGAAACGTGGAAGGAAGATGTTTTGCGTCACAGCTGATCAAAGATGTGGATTGTTTTCGTTTTCTGTGATTCTAAACTGATTTTAAAGAGCATTTGAAGGCCCACCAGCATGTTGTTGCATGTTCACACGTTTTTGATGGATCGTTTCCTTTTTCAGGCAGAAAAAAATGTAAAAATATAACAAATGTGATACGTTTCAGAACCAGAGCTACCTTTAGTCCGCTTGAAGCCGCTGCTGCAGCTCCCGCTCCCCACCGGGATGAGTCCAGTACAGAGGTGTAATGTCACCAGTGTGATGATGACTAATGAACTTTATTTGAAGGAAATCTGCAAAATTGTCTTTGATTTGATTTCACTTCACAAAATCAAAGTTATTTAACTGGTTTTGTTGGTTTGAAGCCCAGACATCTCACTGGGCTGAGGCTGTTGCTTATGAGTTACGCTCCATTGTCTCCGTCTGGCAAATGTTCTCTAAGTAGTCACAGAGTCATGAAATCTCTCAGAAACCGAGTCACAACCCGGGGAGAGAGCGAGTCAACGTAACCGAGGCAGAAACGTGGACGTCTTCATTAGTTCGTGGTGACGTCACATGTCCCACATGTCCTGACCACATAGAACACTTCTTTTGTTCTAGTTTAGTGAAAATTTGTTAATTTTCTCCCAAGTTTGTTTCACTCCCCTCCTCACGGCCCAGTGAGGTTCTGGCGTTGGAGATGAGACTACGAGAAGTAGCAGCACGTTTACAGAATGATGTGGCTTTTGGGAGTTGTAGCTTCATCAGTCGTGTTTCTGTTGTCTGAACTTCAGAGTAAAGCCTGGGAGGGGAAACGGCAACGTCACCTCAGCGGTGGTGTTTCCACACAACACGGCCCACAGCAACATTAATAGCATTAAAGCTTTTATTGTGTAAAAGTACACAGTTTAATCAGCTGTGTGGCGTTCAATGAGGTCGAGGTGAAATCCTCAATTTATCGTGGTCTTGATTTTTGGCCGTGTCGCCCGGTCTTAGACGGTGCCTGCTGATGTTGCAACCAATCGGTATGAGTGTACCAAACGTTCCACTCCGCCACCCCACCGCCCGTGCTGCGTACCTGATCAGGGACTCTGAAAGTTCCTGAAAATGTCCCGTTCGCCTGGCCCGGCGGGGTGAAGGCCGGGACATTTCGGTAAATTTACCCTGAAGCTCCGGCACTGGAAACACGCCTATTGGAGCACCGTCCAAACTGCTACACATCCAGTTGGACCCATTACTGCTTTAACAGTAGATCACATTAGGGTCGTCACGGTGTGAAGATTCAACTTCACGGTTATTGTGACCAAAATTATCACGGTTTTCGGTATTATTGCGGTATTTTTTTCAGACAACTACATAAACCCTGTATGTCAGGAAATATTGTCCTCAGTTCATCTAAATTTAGCCTAAAATGTGTTATTTTGTAATTATGTTGTTTATTTGTTTACATTTTTCCCCTTTAGTCTTTAAAATACCAATATTTGTCCATAACTTCTTATTTTATGTCTGTTTGATGTCATCATTTTAAAAATATTAGATCAGATGATACTCAGTACTCAAGTAGCCTTCTAATCAGATACTTTTTTACCCTTACTTGAGTAATAAACCCTATATCAGGAAAATATTGTCCTCGGTTTGTGTCCTTCCAGTGAGCTTTGCAGATGTGGGAAAATGTCATCAGGCAGTAATCATTGTTAAATTCATAATTATTCTCGGAGAGAGACCAACTCTTATCTGCCCCTGGGAGCCCCGTAATGCATAGCGTCATTTCAACATGGCGGTGTCCGCGACACGGTTTATATGCAGGTAGCGGCGCTGCGGCTGCTTTATATAGCCACTCGTTGCATTCTCCCTCAACCCAAATCCTCGGATCACGCATTTTAGCTAAAGCGCTAACGTTAGCTTGCCTTGTGTTGACTGTAGAGTTGTGGGTGATGGTCACGCAGATGTGTCATGAGATTTGAAGCGTTGCTGCCTTTCACAGACACTTTTCTGCACGTGCTGCAAACAGGATAGCCGTCTTCTATCAGCTGTCCCTCGGCATTCTTCAGATATCCAAAAGATGCCCGTACTTCCCACTTTGTCTTCTTTGAGGGATAATAAATGTCCTCCTGAGCGCTGTCGTCTCCTCCTTTGACCATTATTTCAGCTTTAGCTTCAAGAAAGTTTTGGTTGTAAACAACAAAGTGCGCATGTGCCGCCGGCAACTTCAGCAGATGATACGGTGGCTGGTAAGGGTCACCGCGCCGACACCGCAGCCACGGTAACCCACCGAGATGATATAGTTTTTTTTTAAAACAAGATGGTTATTAACTTTTTTACCGGGGTTTACCGCTACACCGGTTACCGTGACAACCCTAGATCACATCAACATCATTGTTCTGTTTTTATCTGCTTCTCAGGCGAAGAACAGAACAAAGAAGCGCTGCAGGATGCGGAGGAAGAAGCCCAGTGAGACGGAACAACCCGAGACGAGCCCTCCCTTCTCCTTTTTCCTCGTCCCAGCACTAACTCCTCATCCCAAGTCGCTTTCTCCACTTGGGTTTCTTCTTCATCCCAAGGTCTCTCTACCTTCTACCTACCTGTCTCACCTTTTCCTTCATGTATGCACGTTGTCATTCCTGTCCTCCTGTGGGCCGCCTCGAGGCCCTCGTCTCCGAAGCCCTCAAGCCCCGACCCTTTAGAGTTTGCTTCCTCTTCTGTTTTACTTTGCTTTACTTTTGCTGAATCGTCTGTTGCCAAGTTTGCTTGCTTGTATTTGTAACACACATATGCAAAAGTTTATTTAAAGACGGGACTTGACTTGTGTGTGTGTGTGTGTGTGTGTGTGTGTGTGTGTGTGTGTGTGTGTGCATGTGCTCACAACCAGCATCATGTCCATGCTGTCCGTTTTCAAACATTTCAGTCAACATGTTTAGGGTGTGAAGCAGTGAAGGCTTTTAGGAAGAACCAAGTGCCCTCTTTGCTTTCTGGTCATCAGACTGGATTTAAAGCATCATTCTTTCTTCAGAGGCACACATTAGAATGTCGCCGACCTCTGACCTTGTCCATCGTCAGACCAAGTATTGTGCTGCGAGGCTGTAGAGCTTTTGCTAATGGCAGATAGTTAGGTAACGGCTTTTTAAAGACTAAAACGGGTGGGTGAGAGAGGAAATTAACACTTTGATTGTAACGTACTGCAGTTCTGGCACTATTTAAAAACCTGATGGGGAAATGGAGGCATGCTGTATCTTTACTCCCCCGACTCTTTCAGGTTTCATCGTCTCATCTCTCCTCGTTTCTTCTCCTCCTTCTGTTCGGTATGTGTAACGTGAATCTGATTTGTACTACTGGATATTCTCACCGGAGCCACAAGTACCATCTGTATTCTTTCTGAAACACAGCATGGAAATAACATTAAAGTTCTAAAGGAAAATGTCCGACCTGTGTGGGTTGTGGTCCTTTTATTCCCACAGCAGATCTACCTGGGGGGATCGTTCTAACAAGTTTCTCTGAGTCTTAAAGTTCAGATTTAAAGTGTTTAAAGCATCAAATGTACCTGAGAAGATAGATGGAATATATTAATTATACATTTGTAAGAATAGTCATAATTTCAGAACGTACCATTTAAAATTTAATATAAAAAAACTTCAGTCAAGAAGTCAGAGAATGGGAGGAAACATGGAAATGTGTTGCTTCTACCTTTTCTGAAAGCTAATCTTAAACATCTAACTCTGGTGCATTTGACAAAAAAACATACCAAGCATGAGTGTGCAGCAGGCGCCCCCTTGTGGCAGTGTGACGTCTAAATACAAATGTGCATCACCATCTCAGACTTCCCCAACCACGCTCCAACATTCCCCAATTTAAAATGACTGCTTTTTTCACTTTGGTCAGAACGGATGACGAGGAAAGCACTCCAGAGGGTCAGGGTGTGTTTTGGCCAACTTATGAAGCCAAGTTGCTGCTCTTGAAAAACTGAAATTTTAGATTTTTATGAATCAGGAATTCAGTAAAAATTGAAATCCCAGATGTATTCTGGATGTTTAACAGAATTTTAAATTTGGCTCAGATACATTTTATGAAGTAAAAAGCTGTTTTTTTTTTACCTGCAAAACCACCCGTGATATGCTACCGAATCTGGGTGCTGGAGTAAATTAAGAGGTTTAAACAAATAATTTTAGTTCAAGTTTTTCTGATTTCAGGAATTAAAGCCGTCTGTCCTCTTTCTTGTTTGGTGGGTCATTCTGTAAGGTGTTGGGGTGCAGCAGGGCCGTTTCAAGACATTTGAAGTCCACCCTCCCTGTCCAAATTAATCTTGAAACCCTTTGTCACAATTTGACCGTGCACACGATCAGTCTTGGCCATTGTGCAGAATCATCTAGAGCCATTCATGTTTTGTAGTTTTACTTTTGTGAATGAGCTGGTATCAAGGGCGTCAGTTTGTTTTCAGAATTGCTGGGGACAATAAAGTAGGCTAGCACAGGGGTCGGCAACCCGCGGCTCTTCCATCCATCTGACGCGGCTCTGTGCTTGTAAAATAATGAATGGATATTTAAATAAAATGCTTTATATTTTACTGCATTAATTTTACATCTGTATGCCAATTCTAAATGTAAAGATTGTCTGCGTAAACCTGAACAGGTCCAACCCGGTCTGACTATGAGACCGGGTTGACGCGTCACGCTTGTGCGTAATCATAGGCGCTTCCTGAGCTGGAGGATGTCAGATTCTGGGATTCTCCTCAGACGGCTCCTGGATGTGTCGCCACATTGGAGACAGGAACAAGCGCTATTCAGCCAAAGTTTCATAATCGGGGAACATTTTCTAAGTGACAAGTCTCGCTTCGGTCGGGGGAATCTTCCTGCATGCGCTCTGGTTCTGCGACGTGCTCCAAGCCCCTCTCCACATCTTCAGCTCGCTGTGCGCTGTACGTACGCGCTGACAGCGAGCTGCGCTGAGCAGTGTCCAGCTCAGATGTTCAGATGGGAATCTTTTCTTGAGTGATTTAGCTACATCTGCGATTTAAGTGGAATAAAATGTCAGTTCGTCTGCATGCGTCGGGGTAATTCTTTCTATTCTTTCTCCGTCAAAATAAACGGTCAAACGGCCAAAACGGGAACTATCCGGTCAACACAAGCCCTGCTTTTAACTGTTCTGTTTTCTTGTGAAAATTGTTGCAAAGAGATAAAATTAAACTTGATTAACACCAGAGCCAGGCGCACTGCGCCGTTATCTCCGTCACTGTAAATGAGGGAAAAACAAATTGATCGGATCCTTTTCTGACCTTCCCCAGTTTAAACTGTTCAGAATACAAATCCTGGCTCTGTCTCGTTAGATTTGTGTAACTAAAGTTTGTACTGAATGAAACTTTACATTAAACCATGTTGAAAAGAAAAGGATCTGATTAAATCGTTTCCCCCTCATTTACAGTCACGAAGTACAGCACAGGGCTCTGGGGTTAATCAAGTTTAGTTGTTTCTCTTTGCAACAATCTTCACAAGAAGGCAAAACAGTTAAATGGCAGTTTACAGATATTTACATTTGACTTTTATTTTGACGGATAAACCCAAGGATGTTGGTTGTTTTGAAAGAATTACCCCGACGCACACTGATGCGCACACAGATGAGCTGAGTTCATTCGTTACGCACATCGCAGAGGTAACTTGATTCCCATCAGAACATCAGAGCTTTGTACTGGACACTGTGTTCAGCGTGGCTCGGAGAACACACGGTGGACAGTGGGCTGAAGATCTGTAGAGGGGTTCGCAGCGCAGAACCACGGCGCATGCGGTAAGATTTCCTCCCACTGAAGCGGTCTGGAAACCCGGTCTCTCTGAGGGATGTGTCACTTGGAAAAATGTTCTTTTTATGAAATTATGACACTTTGGCTGAACAGCGCTTGTTCCCGTCTCTAATATGGAGACGCATGACGCATCCAGTCTGAGGCAGAATAGCTCTTCAGCTCAGAAAGCACCTGTAGAGACATTTGATCACGCACAAAGTTTATGTGGAGCAGAAGCGGTCGGGCCACGGCAGGTGAAATGTTCCTAGCCTACATGAAGTGTAACATTAATATGTTACTGGACACACTGGTCTGGTTGTTAGACCAGTGTTTGAAGTGGAAAACACACACACACACACACACACACACACACACACACACACACACACACACACACACACACCAATTAAAACAATGCTGATAGCGTGGACTAGAAGACAGGTGATGGTTTACGTATTTAAATGATGATCAGGCTGCTGTAAAATGTAATCTCCATCCACATCCAGACACAATTATCCTCTATTCTTTCTCTAGTTGCTCTGCTCTTGTCTGGGCTGACGTAGCTGACGGTGCGCGCGGCGCGCCTAACTAGCGGCTGATGCACATTTTACGCATTTGGAGAGGTGGGCTGGATGCTTTGCTTTTACTGGAAGATGGTCCACTTAACGCACGGGTGTAGACTACATATTAATGACAAATGAATGAAAATTAAATTGTGAGTTTTTACTTCATATTTTAGAAATTAAAATGACGGGGGAACACATTTATGACGTCTTTTTAAACTAAATTTTCTAGCGCGACCTGCCTGCTTCACTTAAGTCACTGCTTATTAAGGTCCGTCCAAAATTACCGTGGGAAACGGGTAATAATGGCTCTTTGATGGGAACAGGTTGCCGACCCCTGGTATAAGATCTGAGCTGGTAAAACAAAAATCCCCATCAGCAGGCTTTTTTGAAAGTGGGGGGGACACAGTTGCCAATCACAAATTTAGCCGGGGACATGTCCCCGGCGTCCCCGGTTGAAATGACGCCTATGGCTGGTATATGCACGCGCTTCTGCATCTCAGTTGATTGGTTGCACCGTGGGCAGAGCCGGTGTCCGTACAGGATCAGCTCGGGGTCCTTCGACTGCCGATGACGTCAAAGTAGTTGATTGGCTGAACATGAAGCTTACGGAAGTGACTTATCACTTTAGGATTTTGATTGGTCAGAACAAATTTGCGGTCGTAGTCTTAGCGGTTGTAATCCTGTAGTCCAAATATCAACACTTACTGGAGAAAATATGTTTGAATTTCTAAAGGAAATGTAAAATATAAGCAAATGATAAACAGTGACCCTCAGAAGCTCTCGATGTTGATGAAATCGGGCAAAATAAAATATAAGGACTTTCTTGAAATACACCAAGCAACATTTAGAATCAAAGAGTGTATTTAGATAACAACTAAGGAAATGTACAGACGAACTCCACATTAATACAAACAGATATGGCTTCACATATAAGAACTGTTTGTTTGTCAGTCCGATGTTGGTTTTATGCAGTTTCACATTCTTTACAAAACAAAGATAATATGGTGTTTTATTAACAAATTACAATTATAAAGAAAACATTTAGGTGTTAAACAAGAATTTATTAACAAAACTGCTGATGTCTTTCAAAAACGTGTGTGAAAGGACCTCGAGCCGATCCTGTTTTTTTAACTTTATTTCAATCTTCGTTTTCACATACATCAGTTTACAATGTAACCTACGTTCAACGTACTGAAGAATATAGCAAATACAAATGACCTCACTTGAGGAAAATAAAAATTACATTTAGAACTTGCAACAATTACCACATGACACTATACCATAAAATAAATTATGATGCAAAATAATAATAAAAATAAAATATCAACAAACAAAAAATGTTCAGAGGTTGATATTTCAGCATTATATTTCAAACATGTTTGATTCATTGGACTGTAATTTAAAGAACAAGAAACTCAGACACTGTTTCGTACAACTCCGTTATAGACAGTTTAGCAACTGTACTGAAAAGAAATTTAGGATTATGCTTATTCTCCTCAATTAATGCTGAAAAATAAGCAGTTCTAGTTTGTCGAAGCTTATTTTTATAAAGCACAAGACTATTTTTCCAGGATAGGTAGGCCTCCTCATGGTGCGTAGAGCGCCATGTTCTCTCCAATTTCCTAGAGTTTTGTTTTAAGGCTCGTAAATGAGAATTAAACCAGGGAGCCAACTTCCTGTCCCTAATTACCTTCTTTTTTAAGGGGGCAACATCATCTAATGCCACACGTAAAGAGGAATTAACATGATGAACTAAGGCATCAATTTGTGAGGGGCTAGAACTGAAAATATTGCCCTCTGCTACGTTCCTCTGAGATGCTGAGGACAGTAAAGATGGAACAGTTGATTTAAAAGATGCAACTGCGTTGTCAGATAGAGACCGACTATAGTGAAATTTACTTTCATGTCTCAAGAACTTAGTTATAAAAACTCAAAGGTTATCAGAAAGTGGTCCGAGAGGACTGGATTATGTGGAAAGATCGTTATATTTCGTTTAGTCCGTGAGGCAGACACCTTGTCTACTTTTAAGAATAGGCTTAAAACATTTTTATTTGATAGGGCCTATGGTTAAAATCTGATGTTAGCCTAG